TTATAGTTTATATTTAAAGGGTTATGAACAAAATATCTCCAAAAAACATTCTTTTCTAGTAGGTTTTAGGATTTTTTTTAAGCAAAGTCTTTTTTATGGGTAAATGAGATATAATGATAAAGTAATAGCAAACAATAAGCTGTTAAAAATAAAAAATATATATATATATATATATAACTCGAAGGAATAAAGCATCATCTAATTATACCATTTAAAAATATTTTAAGTTCTATTCACTTCTAATTTGGCAAGACAATTAGTAAAATCTGTCTCTAGCGGAATAAGGAGAATTTGCCAATTTCTTAGTTGTTTTTTTAATGCTTCCAAATGTAAAATGTGTTTCTTCAACCTACAAAGAGTATTTTGAGGAAATTTGACCTAGTTGATTGTGTTTGAAGAATCACTTTAAATAACTAGTTGTTATGTGTCTACTAATTAATTGGTTATTATAGTTACATGTTTGGTTAGGAGTTTAGGTTATTTATCTTTTATTTAGATTTATCTTTAATTTGTCATTTAAACTTGTTATTATTATCCTAAACTAGTTTTAAACCTATGCAATGCACGAGTATTAATTATATATAAAAAATTTTTAATTATAATATAATTAATAACTTTATATAAAAATAAAAAATTTTAAAATATACATATAAATTGACATTTTTATTTTAAATGAAACAAGTATTCTTGACACAATTATTTTTTCTTTTTAAAATATATAACCTATTTAAAATACATTAATTCATATGATATGTTACATTAAAATATAATTTTCTAAAATATATAGCTAGAATATATTTTATATATATATATATATATATCTTCCGATTCCCACTTGGGATTGAAAGAAGGTGGGGGGGGGGGGGGGGGCGGGGGTATCGAAGTGCATATTTATGAGATTGAGACCTTGAATATAATTCTAATCCGATTCCCACTTTCCCTTTGGGAATGAATTTAGCTTTAGTTGATTAATTTATGTCACTTAATCAGACTTAATGGTGAGGTTTTTCCAAATTCTAATAATATCTTTATAATTATTTCCCATCATATATTCGTATCTTTATTCTATCACCAAAGGTATAAAGCTTTTCATGCTTAAAATTAAGATCTTAAACTATATGTAACATGCATCCAAATTTATTCCAAAGTTGCAATTAATCATAGATTAGTGCATTACTTTATGTTGTTTATCTAATCAAGAATATAAGATAAGAACCTCTTTGAATGTTAGAAACTTTTAATAGCTTTTTCATCATAAAGAATGACATGGGTCGAATTTCATCTAGAAACTAGATATATAATTTTGAATTCGAAATTTAACTAAATTAATTCATATCATCATTAAAATGTGATACCTATCTGATTTAAAATTTTAATATCAATATTTATAACCATTTTTGCTATCTTTAAATAGCAGACTTTTTTATTAAAAAAAAAAAACATAACTCAAACATTTCATGATAATTAAAAAAAAAAAAAAAAGAACTGACCAATTCAACAACTTTGTTTTTCTTGTTCTATGTGGTCAGGTATCCCTCCACTTATATATATTAATATTCAAATATCAAGACGAGAGATTGGCAAATTAGACAATGCTTGCGGAGTAGACAACGTTTGTGGGGTATTGACAGCCCCGGGAAGGCATGCTTAAACAAAAGGGAAATGCCTTTTTTTTTTTTTTTTAACAAGGGAACAAATTAGCCCAAATAAAATTGTTAACAAATCTAGGCCAAGCTAGCCACATTCATAGTGACATTGATTTGGGAATGCCAGGAATGGCAAAATTGTATAAATTGAGAGACTCAAATTGGGATGTCATTGTCATCCAATCAATACAAAGTTAATTTTGTCATAAAATAGTAAGCTTAAATGTGATACTCCCACTAACCAAGAGTTTTTATTAAGTTCTATTTTAGTACTGTTGTTGTGCTTGGAAAATTTTGAGTTAAAAAAAAAAACATGTTTAAAAAATATGATAAAAATTTTAAGTATTTGGTATTATTTTGAAAAATATTGTAAACAATTGAAATGTCTAAAAGATATATAAAATAATAAAATATTTAAAATATAAGCATAATATAGTGGTTTTTTTTTTATTCCAAACCTACTTTTTCACGAAGAAAAGCCTCTTAAAGAGTTTTTTATTTGGATTTGAAAATTAAGTTTTTATATTGAAAAGCCACCATTTTTTTTTTTTTTTGTTTAGCATTGAGATTGTGTCAAAATAAATTTTTGAATACAAAAACTATTTTTAATAGCAATGTTAAATTAAGTCTATGTAATAAGGAGTACGAACCGATTAAGCCAATTTAAATAAATTGAAATCGATTAATTCGATTTGGTTAAGTTAATTTCAATATTAATTTATTAAAGTTTTTGATTTATTTGATTTACCTTATTGAAAATAAATAACAAACTCATTGAATAAATAGATTTTATTAATAATTGATTTTCTAAATATATTATTTATAAATATATTATTTATATTTTAAAGAATAATGGAAAATATGGAAATTTTCACCCTAAATCCTTAATGCATGAAAAAAAAACAGAACACCCAAAATTCTTTTCTTCTTCCATCTTTGCCTACTGATAATTTTATAAAATTATTATAGTGCTTCATAGTTGATTTTTATTGAGTTCTTAGCAATTTAATTCAAATTCCTCCTTATTTGAATAATTTTCTCATATTTAGGTAAATTGATAAAAAAAGGAAAAAGATTACAATTTAGGTAGTTTTAAACCTAAATCAGAGCTCAGTTTAGCAAAGGAAGGAAGATGTCAAAAGCTTATGCAAGCAACCGATTGAGCTCACATTAACACTTGATCATGTTACTTTCCTTTGCTGCTTTTGTGAGAGTTGATTTTCTACAATTGCAAGTTTAGTGATGAGCTTAATGGAGGATTAAATAAGTTGCTTATTGATAATTCTATAATTTTATAGAATTATCACATGATTTTATGATGATTTTTTCTTAATTCTTAAGTTAATTCATGAATTTATACTCCTAATAGTTAAAACTTCTCATGTGCAGGTAAAATTTATGAAAATAAGGAAAATGAGGCAAATGTGCCTAATTGTAATGATTTTGGATTAATTTAAAGCTAATTGTGCTAAATGATCGTATCTAGTGTCAACTGGAGGAGAAACCGAGTTAGCAAGGATTTTGAAGCTAAGTTGAGCTAACCAAAAGAGGCATTGGAGCTTAATAGAAGATTTCAAGTAGGGTTCCAAGTGAGCAAATGGCTAATGAAGTCAATTCAGCTAAACCCTAAAGCATGCAAATTTTAATTCAAAATTGAAGAAGATTGGGCAGCCTCGGCAGCTTGGACAATTTTTGAACTTCAAGTTTGAATGCAAGCTTGAAACTCCAAGATTTGAGGAGAGGAGTTACTGGCTAAGATGGCGGTTTGAAGATTTCTCATTGGCTGATTAATGAGCACCTGGATCACCAAATTTCAGCTCAAATCTTCCTTGAAGAAAAAAAAGCAGCTGCTACCACTTGGAGAGGATGAAAATAATGGTTTGAAGTCCCGTTGCTTACTTGGCAGCTGAGCTGGCGGTTTGGAGCTCCATCATTGGTCCAAAGACTGATAACATTTGTTTATAAATACCTTTAATTGCTGTTATTTGAAGGAGAGAAGTGTTAGAGAGCTCACTTGAGTAGGATTAGTTTCAAAGTAGTATAGGATTTATTTTTTGCTACACATTGTTCTTTTTCTTTCAATCAAAACATCATTTTTTTTTTTCATTCTTGCTCTAATTTCGAGTACTTTAATCTCTCTTTTAATTGTTCCTTAAGGGATTTCATGCCGACAAATGTCAATTTTTTTTAGTTTTTTATTTACATTTTTTGGTTTAACCAATTGAAGGGAAAAAAAAAGAAAAGAAAGGACATGAAAAATGATTTATATTGATACTATCTATATTAATTTATCCATATTAAAACAATCATATGGAGTTAGGAAGGTCACGTTTGTCTATTTCAGAGGTTTGTTGGGTTTTGGGTGTGAGACGTGGGCCTGTATGGTTATGTGAATTGGGTTGTATGTTTGTAGTTTATATATTAAAAGTTTATATTTGGTGTATTTTTAGTGTATAAATTTTATATATTATCAATAAAATTAAATAATATTATTTTTGAAACAAATCAATAATATCACTTCATTAATAAATAAATTTTAAAAAAATATTAATTTTTATATATTTATTTTAACAATTGATATTTATCAATTAATAAAATATTTTCATCTAATTTATTGACAATATATAAAATATATATATTGAGAATGTATTAAATATAAATTTATATATTTAATGGGTCAGGTCAATATTTAGATTGATTTTTCTTGGTTTTAAAAAATAAATCAATTATGATTTTATTTGCTAATTTGATTCTTTTTAAATAAAGTTAAATATAAAAATAGCTCTTGTCCTATACATTTTTTATCAATTTGATATTTTAATTTTTATTTTATCATCTATTTTGGTACTTAAAATTAATGTTATTAGTCAACTTGTTAACAAAGCATAAAAATCTAATAAAATATTCTCATGTGTTAAAAAAATTTAATCAATACACATCATGTTATCAATTGTTATATTAGCATTAAAAAATTTTTAAATTTTTTTTTAAATGTAAAAAATCTAAAGTATTTTTAAAAATTATAAAAGTATAAAAGAAAAATTGAAATAATTAAACAATTTAAAAATTATGAAAACTTAAAAAATTAAAAAAAATAAAAATTTTAATAAAAAATCTAAAAATTTCAAAAAAATGAAAATTTTAATAAAAATAAAATTTTCTTGAAATTAAAAAAAAAAATTCACAAAAACTTAAATATTGAAAATAAAAAAATCTAAAATTTTTTGAAAAAATCTAAAAATTTGTAAAAAAATTTATAAAATTTTCATTTTTTAATCTTATAAATTTAATTTTTTTATATATTTTATACTTTTTTTTTTTTTAATGTTTTGTTAAATTTTTAAGTTTTTTTATTTGTTAGATTTTTTAATTTGTCAAATGGACGCAATCTCACCCTTCCAAATTTACCTTTGTCTGCCTTATAATTTTCCTTCGAACTTGCAACTCAAATCCTGATAGTGTTGAATTTTAATTTTATTATTTACTAAAAAAATGAATTCTCTCTCCACATCTTCCACAGTTTCTTCTTCGTCTACCTCTTCGGCTTCTTCCACTTCTTGGTTTTCCGGCATTGTTAGAGGCCGCCAGGACAGGTCCTCCTCCCTCAAGGCGGCCGGTAGCTACTCCGAAGGTGGTGGCGAAGCCTCCGATTTCGAAGGACCCATCAAGGGCAAGAACCAGTTCCGTGGTGTGCTCTTTAAGTATGGACCCAAGCCCATTCAGGTTCGTTCAATTCTGTTTTTTTAGTATTTTCTTAATTGGGTTGTCTTTGATGGTTTGAATTTGAGTTGAAGGTTACCTTTTCTAGTGGAATTGGTGATAATCTTTATGATGGGTAGTTTTCAATTTGATTCATTCATGGTCTAGAGTGAGGTTGAAGGGAATTTTTATTGTTTAATTTGAGCTGATAAAGGAGTTTGAATTGTTGATTTTAAGTGTTAATTATTACTACCTTTTTGATGTAAATGCTGGGTGGAAATAGTTTTTAATTTGGATATTTTGTTGCTCTGAGTGCTAATTCTAGCTTTGAGCGTATAAAAGTTTGCTGCTCTGTAATGGTAATTTTAGCTGGAGTGATACAGCTACTTGATTCTGAACATTGAGAAGATTCATAGCTTTTTGGTGGTTTGGTTTCCACTATATTCATTTTGAGAGAACATATTATGATCTATTCTAGTTACTACTTAGTCGTTTATTGAAGCATACCATGCCGTCAATCTCATTGAACTACTCAATTAAACACATTGAAGATATATATTTTGGTATAGCCATAGTATCCTGTGAATTGTATTCTGTGAATACAGGGACAACTTGATTGTCCTGGACTATAGTTCAGCATGTTGATGGTATTTAAAGTGGCTGCAATATGTAATTCATTTTGAATACTTAAATTGAGCATGCGTTTTTAGGTTGCAGGTCATATTAGAACCAATAATAGGGGACTAGTTTTATACCTTTTGACAAAAGTTTTCATTCCTTTGGTAGCTTTAGTTTAACACTTAAACCTGTAAATTCTACATATTTTTATACGGAAACTGTTTTTAATGAAATGTCAAATGTTCAGTGGTGATACTATTGAGCAGGTGAATTGAAAGATCTTATTAGTTTGGCTTCTTGGTAATGTACTAACTATGGATCAGATGCCATGATAATGCTCTCATTGGAATTTGGACTTCCGGTGGCTTTACTTCTATTTTGTAATTAGATATCCCTTATTTTCTCCCTTTTCAGGTTGCATTCAAAACAGGTGACTATAACCAACAAGTTATTTTCATTGGTGGACTGACAGATGGATTTCTAGCAACTGAGTATGTTTTCTATCACATTACCTTTGTGAAAGAATTGAACATTTATAGGAATGAGATCAGCAATAATGATGGAGATTACAGACATGCGCTTTCTTCAATTACCCTGCACATCCTACTGAATTTTTGCTTTCTGCAAAAATCAACATTTTTAAGGTGTCAATGCCACTGTAGACTTTTTTTTTTGTAGAGTTGTTTTGTTGGTTATCTCCGTAATGCTAAAAGCTTTAAGCAGAGTTGTACCTAAAAATGTGTCTCTTGGCAAATTGAGAAGTGAGATAAATCCAGGGAATGACTTCTAGGAAGGCACAAACTTTTTTGGTTTGACTAAAGTATATAAGAGAGATGGAACATATAAGATCAACGTTTTTCTATTACATGGTTGAATTTTCAATATGTATTTCAAATCTTGTGATTCTTAAATGTAACTTTCTTTTTTTCTGGTTTTCAGATACTTGGAACCTCTTGCAATTGCTTTGGATAATGAGAAATGGTCACTTGTTCAACTACTCATGTCATCTTCATATACTGGATATGGCACCTCCAGCTTGCAACAAGTAAGACACATTTTCTAAGTAGATGATTCTGCATGAATTTAGGTTCTCTTCTTTTTCATTATTGTTTCATTCATTTTGACCTGACTTGGGTAAAGCCCTGGTATTGCTCTGTTAAATGTTTTATTTCACAATAAGGCCATTCTGAAAGGCTTTGGGATCTAAATTTTGATAAATTGCTTGTCTTAGATGGAGACAAGGGCTTAGCTTCGAAATTTTCCCCCTCCAACATTTAGAATTCTTAATGACAACTTTGGAACTTTGAAAATACTCTTCATTTTAGAAATTTGTATTTTTAATAATATAGGATTTATTATCATTATTACATAATTTGTTCATTTGCACTTTTCAAAGGCATTGGAGTGCATATTTCAGATTGGGCTACTACCTTTATGACCATGCTGCTTTATCAACATTGACATGAAGCCATCCAGTCATCCTAAAGTTTCAGTACCTTTTCCCCCCTTTATATAAAAAACTTTCTAGTAATATTATATCTTTGATTTAATGGAGCTGATCTTGTGTCTATTCAAGCTTCCTTAGTAACTTTTAGTAAATTTCTCAAGTTGATGTTGGAAAAAACTTGTTTTAGGGGATTCATCTTCTGATTTGAAAATCTTGCCTTCATATTAAATTTATCTAAAATATTGCTCATAGAATTATATCAAGCTTCTTCACCAATTTTCTTTGGACCATGTAAGATTTAATTTAAAAAATGTGGCAAGAATAGTGACCTAACTAAGCTAATTGTATACTCTCTAGCTTCTTCCCTTCTTTTTGGCTGCAGGAGAGAAATACTTATTTTGTTTCAGATGTTGGCTATTTAAATCCTGCCAATGTTTTCAATAACTAGGCTGACTTAACCTCCTGGCCAAAACTTTATGGCTTGAAATATTCTCATTTTCATGGTTTCAAAATTTTTTGGCAGTTTTTCCTTGAGACAAGTGTGTGAACCTTGGTTGTATTTGTTCCTTGCTATGTTTCTCAAACTTCTCGTTATTGTTCTCCTTACTTAAGATGTTCTTGCACCATATGTCTTGAAGGATGCCATGGAGATTGATCAGCTTATCAGTTATCTAATCAACAAAGAAAATTCTGAAGGTGTGGTCCTACTTGGTCATAGCACTGGCTGTCAGGTATCCACTGATTTTGTTTTAAATTTTTTCCATATCCAAAATTTGTTTGGCTGCTTATTTGTGGCATTTTCTGATGAAGGTTAATATCTTTGTTTGTTTGCGCGTGAATCTAGGATATTGTGCATTACATGCGCACAAATGCAGCTTGTTCCCGAGCAGTCCGTGCTGCCATTTTGCAGGTAGCTGCTATTCGTTTTGATCAACTTGTTATTCTTTATGTATGTTATGCACTTTGTCTGCAGCTTATATTCTTTACAACAGAAAAGGTGAGACAAAGGGATTTTTGCTAGTCTGTTACGATGATCATTTAAGGAGAGCCTGCTGATATCCATTTTTTGATAGTTTGAAGTAAAGGAACATCAGTATTACTATTTGGCAGTTTCTGATGTATCATTTATGGAAATTAATTGGCCTTTCTATGGTTTTTGTCTAATATCTGCATATTTGAGTTCGGAAGAATATTTAGTACCATGAGATAACGACGACGACTTTACTTTATTATTCCCTAGTGGAAAATTTTTTTGCTTCCAATTGCCTACATATTGATTCACTTGCAACTTTGGTCATATTGCTGATTTGAATGTTCAGGCTCCAGTTAGTGATAGAGAATACAAAGCTACACTTTCTGAAACAGCTGCTCTGATTGACTTGGCTTCAAGCATGATAATGGAAGGACGGGGTTCAGAGTTAATGCCTAAGGAAGCAGATCCATCTTCGCCTATAACTGCTTATAGGTTGGTATGCTACCACTGTCTTTCATCTTGAAATGACCACATACTTTTATTTATTCCTCATTTTACACAAGCTCATTAAAAATCCGCCTTTTCCCAATAAAGTTTCTAACTGTCTAGATGTAGTTTATTCTCCATACAAATTTAACAGTATGGGGACTGATATAATCATTACCCAATGAGATCAAGAAAGTATTAGATACTTTTACAGACAATTCTATGTGAAATTAGTCTTTCTTGTGATTGATTTTACTCTGATCTTTTTTTTCCAGCTTTATGCTACTGCCTTATTTTTTTATTTTATTTTCCTTTTCTTTTTTTTCCTTGTTGAGAATTCCAGTGCCTTGCAGATATAATTCCCTGTGTGCCTACATGGGGGATGATGACATGTTCAGTTCCGACCTTAATGACAACCAGCTTAGAATGAGACTTGGACACATGGCTAACACTCCTTGCCAGGTACCATACACCTCACCTATTTTTGTACTCACAGTAGCTGACGTTGGTAATGTTCATTAAAATGTGAGAGACAGATCCATAAACATCATAACTCAATCTTGGGAAACCAGCCATTTTTTCTTTGTGGTATAGCATTCTCTTTCTCCCTTGGAATCAGTTCATGACATTTATCATAGCATTTTTCTTAATAAATAGGATTCTCAGTGGTACAAGTTCAATAATTTAAAGCTTGCATATGATGGTTTTCTTTCAGGTTATCTTTTCCATGGATGATGAATATGTGCCAGAGTATGTTGATAAGAAAACATTAGTTGAAAGGTGAGAACAGAAGGCCTCTTCCAGTTAATGTTTCTCGTGCAACATTTGTGCATCCAGTTAGTAACATCTCTTTATTGCATGCAAGTGCGTGCATGTCTTTGTATGAGAGAGAGAGAGAGAGAGAAGTAGGCAGGCAGTTGTTCCTTATCTGATCAAATGATCAGCTTATCCTGTTTATTGCATGCATTTCTATGTGTGTTTGTATGTGTGTGTGTGAAAGAGAGTTTCCGGATCTGTATAAATGTTCATGTTGATTCGTGAACTTCTGCAGATTGTGCAGAGCTATGGGTGGTGCAGAGAAAGTCGAAATTGAATATGGGAATCACTCCCTCTCTAACAGAGTCCATGAAGCTGTGCAGGCAATTATTGACTTTGTTAAACGAGAAGGACCCAAAGGCTGGGATGATCCATGGAGCTAATGCTTTGATATTTTATACTTTGATTTTCTCTTTGGTTTTTTGTGTTCTTTTTGTCTTATTCTCTCTTTTCGCTATTAATTCATCATTTTCATTCTTAATCATGCTCAGTGATTTGATTTTTCATAACATATATAGCTAAAGCTGTGTGAATCTCATCCCCAGGTTAGTTTGAAAGAATTTTTGTACTTTGTATGTAAGAGCCTTGTTTTCCTTCAGATGGAACTTGGGTGTTGGCATGAATTGATTTTGTTCTTCCTTTTTTTGGTGCAAAAAGGTTTGAGGTGAGAAAAGGTTTTCTAATTTTAAAGTCAGGACGGATCGCAGGTCTCAGAGAAGATTAACGTTGGATTTATAGATTACCCATCAAAGGAGATTACTGGCAATGAGATTCCAATTTAATCAATTTCCTTGGCAGAGTTTTGTTCTTTCCCTATAAAGATGGGCAGAAATTTTCTTGTTAATAAGTAAATAATATAAATTTGAGAGATAAAGATTTAACATGTCACATTCAATCTATTGGGATTGATAATTTTTCAGATTCTTTTAACATTTGTCTATCACTTTTTCACAAGAAAAATCTTTTAATAGGATAATTTTCTGCTCATACTATCTTTGCTTATGACATGGCAAACGAAAATCACAATTTTACTGAGAAAGATCAGTAAGGGGGTGCTGTCAGCCACTGCTGTTTCTAATCAGTCTCATATTTTACCTGAACAACCAGCCAAATTCCAACATTGAACAAAGCTTTTTGACTTTTCAGTTGTCACAATTTAAAGCCACCAATCATTTTGTCACTTTTGTGTACAAGTGATTGAAGCAAAGGAGTTGGTTCATGCATGTGGTGGGTGGTGGGTTGGTAACTTCCCAATAATGGCATACTACTATTGCATTTTTCTTTTGCTTAATTTAAGCTGAATGTTGGATTTGCTAATGCATTTGTCTTTGCCGTTGCATCATCTTATATGAATTCAAGGGTTTACCATACCATGTTCCCTGCAAATAATTAGTGAAATTTTTTGGAGATTGATATATATGCATTATTTACATAGTTAAAAAGTGTTACAGTCAACAAATTTAAAGGTGTTTTGTTGAATTTAAAATTTATTTCAATCTATTCATATAATTATTTTTTTAAAATAATATAAAATAAAAATAAAATTTAAATCTTATCAATTACATCTTTTTTGTTATTCTCATATAAAACCTCTTTTGAATAAAAAAGAGTTTTGATTGTGTTTAGACAAAATATAAATAAAAGAAGAAAAACATCACCATACGCTAAACCTAACTGTACTAGATCATGGAGTCCCTATTTCTTTTGGGAAAAAAAAAATAAAAACAAAAGGAAGCAGATCCATAAAACAGGTGCTGGGCAAAGAAATGAGGAGCGGCAGCTTCATACATTTCCAGTTTTCAACAATAACTCAAAACTTTATTTCTGCTCCGTTCAATTGGCAATTCAATCATAATGGTCCACCAATGCCTTTCCTCTACAGCCTTCTTTGGGACCCTTGGATGAAAGCATATATAAAAAGATCGAAGGTGAGAATGAAAAGACCGCCAGCTAATTCTTGTTATTTGTACAAATAATGCAGCTGTGAGGAGAATCTGTTTAATGGTCCTTTGCTTGGCTGCATTGACAGGTGTATAATGAAGTCAAAGAGCCATTCAAATTTTTTTCTTATGCTTTGGCTGTCGATGACACCCTGCTTTCTCCCAAAAGCTGTAGTTTTTGTAATTTGGACAGATTTTGTCTCCATGCATGGCATGGGAAAGTGACATTTGGTTAATTATATTCTCAACTATAATATCATCTTTTGCATGAAAATGTACCAATGGACATCACATTCAATACATCATTTTGTGAACCAGATTTCTAGCTCTGCGTTGTCAATTTATATTTTACAATATAAAAAATAGAAAAATTTTATAAATTAATTTATATTTTGAAAGAAATAAAATTTTTTATAGTTTTTCCTTTCTTTTATTTTCTCACATTTTAAATTCAGTATTTAAATCATTAAAAATAATTAAATTTTTTTTTTAATTTTTTGGAAAATAAAAATAGAATTAAAAACCTACATTTTTAATTAATAAAATAGAAAAATTTTTAAAAAAACTTTTTTTCTTCTCTCTGCCGATGCCTTCCTCATGGCAGAATAAGCAAGTCACGTCAGATCTAGCTAGCTCTAGCTGGATCAGGCATCCTTATGTCAAAAAGACGTGAAAAGTTATTAGAATCGACCTGAAAGAAATTAGAACAACCATGCCCTTTGAGGTGGAGCCGGCTTGTATTAAGCCGATTTTGACTTCATTTTAGGCCGTTCCAGCGTAAAGATATTGTCTGGGACTCGTTCCGACATAAGGATGCTGGATAGGATTTGGGCTAGTTAGACCTGAGGTTGATTGGCCAGATTCAGCCTTGAGGTGGGTGATCAATAGAAAAGCGAAGGAGAGGGAGAGAAAAAAAAAGTGACAAAAAATTTAATTTAAAATAAACGCGTGGCATCATATTAGGTGATGTGGTATTTTTCTATTCACCTATCACATTTGATTGGATAAAAAATATTTCAACAGATTTGATTAACAATGTTAGTTGGCGGAGTAGATTGAAATATAAGTTCGAATAGCACGTTATATATTAATAAGTGATTGATTCAATCGATTAAAATTATATTTTTTGATGAAAAAATTTTTTATTCAAATTTTGTTGTTATTCATTTGTTAAAATCATCTCGAATATACGATTTACAATCACCTATCTTAAGTTTTTATGTACGATATATTTTATTATAATATAAATGATTAAATAACTTATTTATCTAAAATTTTTTTCTTACAAAAAAAAAAAAAAGCACATTACACACTTTTAGTTCATATCGCATGTTGACACTTTTTATAAATATAAAACTAAATATGAAAATTAACCCTTAGTTGCAAAGTACAATTTCTCTTTCTAAGTCATTGTAATATTCTTAGCTAAGATTGGTAATTTCTATACAACCTCGGTCAAGTACAAATAGCCACCCAAACAATGCCATTATTGATTACGGTTCCAAAAATTAGGGGGTTTCATTTTTTTAATGATTTTTTTAGAGGGGGAGAACAACTTCACTAAAAAAAAAACGCATGTAATGAAATTAAAGGTTAACGTGAGGATGGGCCCTTAATCTTTGACAATTAATATATAATAAAGTTTAATGGATTACCAACAGGCTTTGTTTGATTCTATTATTATAATTCAATAGTTCTTTTTGGAAAGCAATTCAATAGTTTTTTTTTTATTCCAAAATATATTATTTATCATTTAATTATAATCATATTTTTAAAATATCACTTAATTATTAAAATTTTTAATTTAATTAAAAAAATTTGAGTAAGTATTTTTTGTTACCCAATTATTCATTTCAAACTGCTTACTCACATGGCTATACCATATCAACTGTCAATTATCACATGACATTATCATGTCATCTAATATCTTACGTGGCATTTATTGATGTGATATTATAAATTTAATAAAAAATAAATTTATGGATATGATAATACCATATGGCACTTGACAACTTACATGTCAGAATATCGCTAGAAATTAATGATTGAGTGATAAAAAAAAATTTTCTCAAACGATTAATGAATAAATTAAAAAAATTAATAAATTAGTGATAATTTAAAACTACAACCATACTTGGGTGACTAATGTTGTGATTTATCCTAGTTTTTAATGCATTGTTAAACAAATAGCACTGAATTCATAAAGTTTGATTATTTTGTGAAGACAAGTTAATGTATTCAGACTATTCATAGTCATCAAAAACTCATTAGTATCATGTTGGGTAAAAAAGGTTAATATCATAAATAATACTTAACTTATAGTCATAGCAAAGGTTTAGGTTTTTAGTAGTATTTTTTTCAACATTTAACAGTGTTTATAAACATCATTAAAATATTTACGGCATTTGCAAAAAATATCACTAAAAGTGTCGGCTATACAAGCGTTGGAGAAAATAGTAATGTTTTTTTTTATAAAATGTCATTATTTTAATGACGTTTGTATATAAAAAACGTCGCTAATTTAGTGACGTTTGTACTAAAAAAATATTGCTAATATAATGGTATTTATATGATAAGACGTCGCTTTAACGACTTTTTTTTTTTATAAAAACGTCACTACTTTTAGTGATATTTTATGGTATAAACACACTAAATTTAGAATTTAACGGCATTATTAAACACAAATGCCGTGAAATTAAAAAATTCACTTTTTTAAAAATTTATTTTAATATTTATTATTTTTATTAACAAAAAATGTTAAAAGAAATAAAAACGAACTAAAATTCAAAAACTGAAATTAATAAATACTTAATTCACATTCAAATATACATGTAATTAACACAAAGTTTAGTAATTAGTATAATAACATTTAAATTATTTTAATACATTAATAAAAAAATTTAAAATGTATGAAATTGATAACTGTATAAATATGGAAGAGTGTCATTTAATGAAGTAATTTTTTCACTTTGGTCACTAGCGCGCTCAAGAATCTACTGAATAATATCATAAAAGTTTTAACATTTAATAATAAGCTTTTTATATTAAAAAATATAAATATTTACTAAATATAATACCTAAGTTGGTGTACCACTGAGATTAGTTCTTAAAAATTGTTGTTACACAAAATTCATAAAATGATTGAATCAATCATGCAACTATTAAAATTTTACATGCTTTTGATCTATTTTAGCACGTTCTTCTTTAATTTTGGTACGCTCATATTCTCTTTCTACTTCCATTTACTAGAAATGTTGTTGTATAGTTTGCAACTCCTCTCTCAATATGGAAATGTGTCGCGAATATTAACTTATTGAGAATATAAATTGCTAAAAGCTACATCCAATGTAGATAGATGGTGTTGAACCCGATTCAAGGCCTCGGACTCGTCCATCCCTTTTTTTTTTTCAGCAACTTCTGTGAAAATTCGATTTTTCAGTTCTTGCATGTTGACAAAACCATCAGATGCTACTTCAATCTTAATAGCCATTTTTTGTTTCATTTTTTTCTGCAAATTAATCATATAAAGCTATCAAGTTTAATGATTAATTCATAATATACTAAAAAGAGTAAATATTTACTCTTTGTTAAAATAGATGTTACAAATTTATCACAATTTCTTGTGTTTTGACATTCAGGTAAGATCCATCTTTTTTGTGTGTGTTAAGCAAAATAGTTTCATACGTCCAATTTTACCACCTATCTCAATATCCTATAAAAAAATATATGTTATTAATGTTAGTTATACTGTAAGCAATCTATGTAGATTTTTCATAATGAGAAGTATGACATTACTTACAGTTACTTCTAACCATTCATGAAAGTTTTCGGTGAACAACTTATCAAGCTCTCGAGGGTTTGATCATTAATAATGTGCATGGGCTCTCAAATTATTTTTATGCTCACTACAAAGCATCATGATAAAGTATTAACAATAACAAAAAATACAATAAATTATGCTTAATGGAATGAATTATTTTCTTACAAAAAAACTTACGTGTGAAATGATACAATTGAGTCATGATTTAAAAGAACATATCAATGTGCTTGTGTCCAAGATTTATCATCTAACTCCACCATTTCAACTTTGCCTATTAGTTGTCTAAAACTTTCAAAAAGATAACTATAGGTAAAATTAGTATGCTGTATACCAACATTTTTCGATGGTCTATTAAATCTCGTTTCAACATCTTCTAAATAACAAGAAAAAAATGTCATACATTCTTATGCTAAATATCTTTCAGCAATAGAACTTTTCAGATAGCATTTGTTGCGACAATAAGACTGTAAACTTTTTGAAAACCTATCGTATAAAACATTAGTCATATATTTTTTTAACTATAGTGGTATGATCAATAATAACAACCTAATTAAGATATTAACAAATAATACATTTCGATAGGATACATCCATCGATAA